CCCCAAAACCCCAAAACCCCAAAACCCCAAAACCCCATTTTGTGTATAAATTATTGAAAATGTATACTAGTAGAAAGAGAGCAGGAGGTAGCAGTCTTGGTAACGAGCTTCCTCTTTTAACACCTCGAAAAGAGATTGAGTATTATTCACCATTAAGAAGCTCAAGAAAGGGATACCACTACGGCAGATGTAAGCCCACATTCTTCCAAATTCCTTCGTAAACCACCATATGTTTCCTCTTAAACCCTAGTTTTCCAGACTTTTGTTCTGATTTCGGCTGATTTCTCACCTGGATTTTGTAGATGCTGAAGATATGTACCCTCATTATTACCACGAGTCTATCCGCCGTTCTTGGGATCTACATAATGCGGCTTTGGAGGATTTGAATAATAAATAAGGCTATGATTGATCTGGCAAAGCAGAATCAAGAGTTGAAGCATAAGATAAAGGAGAAGCATAGGAAGGACAAGATAGCACTTGATGCATCTCTAAAATTATACAAGTTAAAACAGGATATATACGGGCAACTTCAAGAAGATTCTCTGAAACAGTTAGTCAAGCAAAAACAAAGAGCTATTGATGACGATGTTGAAGATAGAGCTATTCATGACATTCTGGCCACACATCAGGACAACCTGAAAGGGCTCACTAATTCTATCTTTGTAGCTAAAGAGGAAAAATTTAAGCAAGCTGCTGATGACCTCCATGCGAAACTTTCAGAAATAGAAGCGAGGAGGTTGCTGGACAAGAAAATGAGTAAAAATTACAAGAAGCAGGTGAAACGACTTAAGAATGACGAAGAGTATATGACTAATAAGTTCATGAATGAGTACCAGAGGATTGATTATTTGAATAACATGTATAACCCTTATTACGTTCCTCCTATCTCAGGAATTGGAGCATTGAATCTTGGCAATGGCAAGAAGAAAGACATGTAAATTTTCGAGAAGAATCATTATAAGTTTAATATAATAAACGATACTGGGGTTTTGGGGTTTTGGGGTTTTGGGGTTTTGGGGTTTTGGGG